AAGTACCTATTATATACTATGTATTGTTCTAAGCTGAGGATATATTTTCCTTTAATATTTATTTTTTTCAGTTATAGTTGGACACAATGCCTTTATTTATTTATTTAGGAAGCAAGTGATTATTGTGGTTATGTGTATAGGGAAACTGGCACAGAGAATTCAATACTTTGTGGCCAAAATGATCTTTTTCAAAACACAAATCTAATCAGGTTAACCTGTTTAAAATTCTCCAATTGCTCCCTAATACTCTGCAAAAGATCCATATCTAACAAGGGTATCCTTAATCCGTATCCTTAAAAGGCCTTACATGGTCTGGTCACTATTGATTTCTCAAGAATAGTCTTGTACCACTTTTTCCTCATTGTACTGCCCTCATTTCTTCCAAGATAAACTGTCTTCTTCCGAAGCTCCTAGGCACAAACTATTCTTCTCACTCATTGTCTTGTTCCACTCACCTGCTTATGCCTAGAAACCTGCTTATTCCACAGTTCTCAACTCCACTTCTGGGATGTCTTCCCTCAATTTCCAGATGAAAAAAAAAAAAAATTCCTTCTATAAGCACACTCAAGACTCATGTGCTTGCCTTCATAGCACTTATTTGAGTTACACTTTCAAATTTATTTGAGTAATGTCTATCCCCATACTTGACTGAAGAACTACAATCCTAGCCCCATGGATTATATTTTTACTAAGTTGTATACCTAGCACATAGGATAGTGTTGACACACATTAAGCACTTAACAATGATATAATTTTTAAATGAGTGATCCATTTTATTCATAAGATGTAAGTATGGGAATTAAAAGATTTCAAGAATTTATAGTAATATAAAGTGGGGCTGGTCAATTACCCAGAAATGAATCTCCTAAAACCTAAAAGTAAAAAATGATTCAAAATTTTCAATAAATACTGGCCGCAGTGGTGCTCGTCTGTAATCCCAGCAACTCCAGAGACTGAGGCGGGGGACTGCCTTGAGTCCGGCCTCAGCAATTGAGCAAGACTCTCAGCAATTTAAAGAGACCCTGTCTCAAAATTTAAAAAATTAATAAAATTAAGGGTTGGGGATATAGTTCAGTAGTATAAAGCCTGGGGTTCAATTGCCAACACCAAAAAAACACACAAAAACACACCAGTATGTAACCTGTAGTACCAAGGACAACATTGGAATGTCTATTTAATATTAATAAATACTAATTTAAGGTTCAGAAAATGATACCCCAAAGTAAGTAAAGACCTGAGAAGCAAAGTTTGTCTCTAACCTTCTTTTGTCCTCCTGTTTTTTACCCATTTTTCCCTGAAGTAAGCCATACAAACTAGAATTCTTTCTACCTACGGTGGGGCATGAAAACTAGAACCCCTTTATCCCATAATTAGCTGTAAGACCTAAAATATTTTTCTAATTTCCTCTTATGTTTCTGTGTAAGAGTTGAACATAAAGAAATTCACTTATCCATTTTACTTGACTGTAAACTCCCATTCTAGAAAGAGTCGTACCCCATAACCAGAAGGAAGAAATGTTACATAAAATCCAGGAAGAATCAGACAGTCCTTACTGGTCCCACTACCTACCCCCCCAATCTATTATTATTAGATTATACCTATTTGTCCAGTCATTTTTCTATATGGCTTTATCAAACATAAGCATAAATGTGAATAATACTCTTTGGATTTTTGGTTTTCAATTTGAAGGCTCCTGTGTTATGTTAAACTATGATCAAATGCCTACTTCTCCTATTGATCTACCTATGATCTACCTACTGTCAGTTGACTTCAGGGAACCTTTAGGGAGAGAGAGGAAATCTCCCACTGTAAGATAAAAATCAGTATCTTGTAGCTATTGAGAAATTAATTGAGGAGTTGGAAAATGTAAACAAAGAGTAAAGATAATCCTCACCCTACAAATCCCTTTAACATTAAGATTACAGATATTGGGGCCGAGGTTGTGGGTCAGTGGTAGAGTGCTTGCCTAGCATGCGTGAGGCACTGGGTTCGATCTCCGGCACCACATACAAATAAAATAAAGGTATTGTGTTTACAACTAAAAACATATTAAATAAAATATTACAGATACCAAATGACATAAACAAATTATTTAGAGCTAGGTACAGTGACTCACACCTGTAATCCCCGCAGCTCGGGAGGCTGAGAGAGAAGGATTAAAAGTTTGAGGCCAGCCAGCCTCACCAATTTAGCAAAACCCTATGCAACATAGTGAGACCTAGTCTCAAAATTAAAAGTAGGAGGAGGATGTGGCTCAGTGGTTAAGCAACCTTGGGTTTAATTCCTGGTACATACTACCCCCTCAAAAAAAAATTTTTGGAAGAATGCTTTGGAGGAATAAACAAGACACTTTAAGAGTGACTAAAGATGACAAGTATAAAGCTAAAGCAAGCTATGTAACTCCAGAGGTATAAATGTAAAACTAACATTCACTGAACATTTACCATGTGTCAGGGATGTCTCTGAGCATTTATTAACTCTTCTACTCCCCCAAAACAGACTCCATGAGGTAGTAAATATTATCTCCATTTTGCAAGTCAGAAGTAACTTGTTTAAGACCTCACTAGTTGCAATTAAGAGTCAAGATTCTGAATCCAAGCTCTGAACCCAAGAAGTTAGTAGTTAAAATAGAATTCTTCCCTAATATGTGGATAAATACTGAGGTATTTTTAAAAAACATATTTTTAGATGTTGATGGACCTTTACTTTATTCATTTATTTATATGCAGTGCTGAAGATCAAACCCAGGGCCTCACACATGCTAGGCAAGTGGTCTTCCACTTCCATTGGGCTACAACCCCAGCCCAATACTGAGGAATTTTTGATCAATACAAATTGTTTTCTTTATAGACTCTTTCACTAATCTCCAAGTTGGTTTCCTTTCCTCTAATTTTGCTTCCCTTAAACCCATCTTTCACAATGCATCTAGCAATCTGCTTCAATCTTCTTTAAAATTTTTTTTGTAGTTATATGAATAGAAAGCCTTTATTTTATTATTTTTTTAATGCAGTGTTAAGGCGAATCCAGTGCCTCACACATGCTAGGCAAGCATTCTGCCACTGAATTACAGCTCCAGCCTTTCAATCTTAAATGGCATACAAAACATGGGAACTGTTACTCTGCATGGCACGCAAGGCTATGGTTCATGACACATGATCTAGCCTCTTGGCCTCTCCAATTTCCTTTTCTGCATTTCCTACCCTAAACTTTTAGTCTTAAAATCTAATAAATTTTAAAACTTAAACTTGTTTTAAGTTTTAAAACTTGTTTTATGTTTCAAAACTTAAAACTTGTAATGTAATACAAGCTCTACCTAATAATATAAGCCTACCTCTAAATTCTCCTACTATGCATTTTCAGGAATATGTGTCTATTCATTTTGTTCACTTTATGGAAATACCCTCATTTCTTGCATTCATGTCTTATTTAAGCAAGTTTCTAGATTTTGATTTCTTTTCTCCAGGAATCCTTTTTTGAAACTCAAAGAAATGGCCCTCTGCTAATAGCACTGGACAATATTCTATTGAACTTATCTATTTATAAACCAATAACCTTTAATTAAGCTCCTTGAGAATAAGGACTCTCTTTTTTTACTTTTACTACCCCCCAACACCCTACATACAGAATTCTTGGCATATATTAACTGTTCAGCAAACAATTTGTTTTTTCTCCAGGTGCTGGGAATTCACAGACCCTTGCCCAGGGCATACAAGCAATCTACCACTGAATGACACTCCCACTCCCTTATGGTTTAACTTCTGAACATTACCAGAAATCAAGAAATGTTAAGTTCTAGTCTTATTTTGATAGCTAAACTATATGACTTTAGATACTTCACTCTCTATGCTTATCTTAGACACTGATAATCTAATCCTAAAGTTCCTTCAAATAAAAATTCTATATCACTTTTTATTTTTTCTCTCTGTGTAAGAGTATGCAGTATTTAAAAAGAAATACTCTATATCAACTTAAAAATTAAATTTGATTATGTTATCTGTTAAAGATGAAACAGTGCTACCAGTAAACATCAAAATTAGCTCATGGGGCCAGGCATGGTGGCTGAAACCTGTAATCTCTGCGTTTTAGGAGGCTGAGGCAAGAGAGAAGCCCAAATTCCAGGCTAGCCTCAGCAATTTAGCTAGGTCCTTAGTAACAGGACCCTATCTCAAAATAAAAAATAAAAGGGCTGGGGATGTAGCTCAGTGGTAAAGCCCCTGGGTTCAATCCCCAGTAGCCCCATCCCCCAAAAAACAATAAATTGAAATTTACCCTTTACTAGAGTTACACATAAATTAAGGAAATTCCTTACAATGGAGTATTAGGCAGGTACTAAAAAGAAAACAGACATGCGGAAAATGCTGACAATGTTCAATAAAAGGTTATAAAGTTTTAATAAACGATTTGATTTCATTTTATTTGAAAATAATGAATATATATCTGGGATGGAAATCCACCACTAAATACGGCAATAAATAGCTCCTTTCAAGATATTTCAAAATCGCACTCTGTGATAATCACATATTCATAATTCCAAAATCCTTAAATGCAACAAGAACAGGGAATATTAATAATTTCCGAATTGGGTGACAGTGGTGGGGGTGACTCAAACAAGTGTCATCATTCTGTCCAATGATAAAGAAGAACGTGTATCTGTCCTGTACTGTGTGAAATTCTTAG